CCTTAAGAACTTGTAAGACCCTTTCTTCTTTGTGTTACAGATATCCATTTGTGATAGTTTGTTTTCCTTTATAGACTGTGTTCTAAATGCGTTGTAACTATAGACTGAATATACTTACTGAGAAATTTGTGTAAAAGACTATTTGACCTTGTCTCATTATAGAATGATTTTCTTTGGTAACAAGTTGTCTTTTAAGTTTCTCTCTGCATTGAGATGAGAATGTCAAAGGGATCGGGCCTTTTTTGTGGAGATGTGTCCTGCCAGGGCGGATGGAGCTTTTTGAATTCACTTTGGATTTCACAGCAGAGGCTGAAATATTAGTTGACAGTGGTGGAACCTAGATCATGAAATAACTTTTTTAATGTTTTTATTCCTTGGCTTGGGGTTAGTGACATATGTATGTTTGTTGGAAGGTTTTTAAAATGTACTGTGTATACTGATCTTGCCCTGCTTTTAGTGTCAAGTAGACTACCCAGGTTTTGTTCATAAATGTTTGATTGCATATAGAGAAAGTGATATTTCTTGAATGAAGAAAATTTGAAAGGTGAATGAATGTTACAAATTGCTTTAGTTTCTAAACTTGTTAGTGATCTGAAATTATTTAGTTAAGCTGTAATAACCTTAGATGGGGCTTAAAAAGTTCCTGGAAAAATATTCCTATTTTAATTCCATTTGTCCATGGAGTTTTTAAAGCCTCCTCTCCTTGTAGCAACTTTTTGCCTTCCTGCCTGTCAGATCCTATTGTTATTCAGTACCACTATAATCAGGTTTAGGTTGGGTCGTAATAAGCAAGCAAACAAAAAAATGCAAAATGATTTGTTGCCCAGAGGAGTTGAGTAAATAAAGTAATAAGTTGATTTCAATCTTTTTTTTTTTTTCAAACCCCCCCCCCCAGTCTCTTGCATGGCACAAAGAATGTCACCAATTCAAGCAGCTTAAGATTATCAAGACAAAATAGTGATGGTGGCCAGAAGAATAAACTTCGTGAGCATGTTATAGACTGTGGAGATATAGTCTGGAGCCTTGCTTTTGGGTCTTCAATTCCAGAAAAACAGAGTCGCTGTGTAAATATAGAATGGCATCGATTCAAGTTTGGTCAAGATCAGCTGCTCCTTGCTACAGGGTTAAACAATGGGCGTATCAAAATATGGGATGTATACACAGGTATGAATTCTCTATCAAGTTAGCTGTTTTTTACTCAGATCTGATTATTTTATGATGGCAGAATGCTTCTTGAAGACAGGGAAATGCATGATTTGAGGGTTTTAACAAACTGAAACACAAGAATTGCTACTCTGACGGGTTCTTTATAGTTGGTCTGAATAGCATTTATCCAGGTCATGGTTTTTAATTTAGGAAGATCACATAAGAGTTCACACTGCTTGGTCAATTTTAAGAGAATAGTATAGCTGGAAAGGCATATTAAGAGAATGTTTAATTATCACCAGCTAGTAATTAAATTCTCTGGCTTAAATAGGAAAGTGTTTCCTGGTATTTTCAATGGTTGATAGCTTAAGTGCTTTCAAAGCAAACTGGTTTCAACAATCATTAGCTAGCCTTTGGGGAAGCTGTTAGTGATGGTTTATTTAAAGTTTAACTAGATAGGCTAGAAAGTTAAGTTCTTTGGGCAATTAAACAAATACAGGTAATAAAGAGTTACAGCCTGAGAAACTCACAGAGGCTGTCCTACCTTATTGTACAGGGCCACTATGCGTCTAAATCAACTCTAAAGTACAATGTGCTTTTAATTCTTTATTTTGGGGGAAGTAATAAAAATCCAACAGTTGTGAGTAGTTATGTAGGAGGGTATACAAGCTATGAAATATGGAAGTATATACATGACTATGTAGGTAGTTGTGGGTATTTGTGCTGCCTATACTGTATATACTTGTGTATAAGCCGTGTTTTTCAGCACATTTTAATTTTTGTGCCTCGGCTGATATTCGGGTATATATACTGTATATAATAAAGCTCATAAAAAAAATAAAGCTCATTAAGGGGCACAGTTATGGAAACTTCTTAGATATAACCAAATCTCGCATGGGTCTGGGTCTGGGCTTGAAGACGAAGAACCATAGTCTCAGGAGACATCTTTCCAGGCCCATTATTGGCATAACATAGTTTGTTAAGATAATAATGTTCTACATCCTTGTTTGGTGAGTAGTATCTGAGATGTTAAAAGCTTTTAAGTGCCATCTTTGATACAACTATTGGTCTCTTCCCATATGTCACAGAGGGAGAGATAAAGGGAAATCAAAGATTCAAAGAAGCAATTTGTCCTTGGGACACTATGTCTCACAGCAACCAACCACAGCCTCCTCTTGCCTGAGACCAGAAGAAGTTACCTGGTGCTTGCTACAACTCCCAGTTCCTCTGCTCTGGACCACAGTAGAAAGTCCTGGCTAGAATGAGATTCAAATGTAGAACAAAAGTCAAACTTGTAGAAGAGACCAGACTGACTGAACTGATAGAGGTGGAGGAACCCCTGAGACTATGGCCCTAAAATACTCTTTAACCTGGAACTGAAGCCGCTCCCAGAGATCACCTTTTAACCAAATATATATGAGACCAAACAAGCAGCATTTACCGGAAAGCAAAGAGGGGCAGGGAAACTGGAGGGATGGAAATAGGGAGAGTGGTGACACATTGCAGGGCTGGCCGTCAATATACTGGAATATTTTGTATATGATTTGTTGAATGGCAAACCAATTTGCTGTTTAAATGTTCCTCCTAAAACTCTGAAAAGCAAATGTATTGTTCATTGCTTACAAGCATTTCTAACAAGAGAACTCAAAAATCTGAGTAGAAAAATGAGCATTAAAATAGTAAGCACATCCGAACACAATACATGATCTAACAAAGTGGGATTAGGAAATCAATAAATTTGGTTAAATAGATTTTCCAAAAGGTAAACTTCTTGTAGTAGTAGGTGAATAATAGAGTGTTTTGTCAGTGAGATTATGTTCAGTAAATAGGAAGTTGTGAAATAATGTGCATCTTCTGGGGTGTTTTGTAATATAGGAAAAGGAAGTATTTTCTATTTTTAAGTTATTCAAAAATTGGTATTACATTAACCTGGACCAGGACTTTGCATTTCAGCAATTTTATCTTTATTACTCAAATAAATTTAGGCTTTGCTATCCTGGAAAGATTTCATGTTTAAACAATATAAAATCTTAAGTCTGCATTACAGTTGCTTGATGAAGGAGGTATAGCTTCTTTTCACTTTTTTAATGATGAGCAGCTCATTCTTAAAAGATATTAACATTACCTTTTTAAAATCTGTTGTATCTAGGAAAACTCCTCCTTAACTTGGTGGACCACAATGAAGTGGTCAGAGACTTAACTTTTGCTCCAGATGGGAGCCTGATCCTAGTTTCAGCTTCAAGAGACAAAACTCTGAGAGTGTGGGACCTGAAAGATGATGGTACGTCCTTTTCCTGGGTTGTAAAAAGGGATTCGGGTCTTGATATTACTGTTGAAAGGTATTGAATCATCTGAGGCATTTATAAGTGGCTTTTAAGCAAATGCTCTTTTTCTCTGCTTAGTCCTTCGTTTCTTATCCCTGTACAGATCAAACAAAATCATAAATGTGATCCAGAATAGGAGCCAGCAGTTACTCTTAAGTAAACAATCTGATACCCGGAATTAACTACACAGATCCATTTAAATTATTTGAGGCAAAAATCTGGGTCGGTTTAAGGGTTTTAGTCAGTTAGTTAATTTTCCTTTATCTCAAAGAGTGTTGACTCTTGAATTTGCTTAGTAAAAATTTAAGTTGACCATGAAATAACAAAATGATATAATTTAGTAATCTAATAAAGTATAGATCAGAACATAATTTCTACACTACAATTTATATCATATGCTAAGAGATCATTTTCTTACATAAGGAAGGCACTCTACATCACAAAGCTGTGTCAGTTTCAATAGAAGAGTGTGAGCTTTTTCTAAACTACCTACCTGAGGTGCTTAATAAAGGGTTGTGGAGGTTCTCCATGTAAAAGAGTTTACATTTTGAAGAGCCTCTGCTTGTTGGTAACTCCTAAGGCTGGCAGTTCCCGACTATCGGTAACTGCCCAGGAGAAAGGTTTTCTGTTCCTTTCAAGAATTACAGGCAGAGACCCACACAGGCGGTTCTACCCTGTCCTATGGGTTACCATGTGTTGGAAAAGAGCTGTTGGTGACCAAAATCCTGTAATCTAGAAATTCATAGGTTTGCTCAGAAGTTACATAGTTTAAATTGTGTGTTATAGGAATAAAATTCACTATTTGGAAACTGTTCTGCTGATGGTAGTAACCATCATCATATAAAATAAGTTATCATTGCCAAACCTAAGGAATTTCCTCTGCATTTTTTCAGTGTTTGATTCCTCAGCTATGGAAAAGATCCCAACAGTTAAAACGCTTTAATTCATTTTAATTTAATTTTGCATATTAAGTAGGGTTTATGTAACATTTTAAATTATGTGTATTTGTTTTAAGCATGGGTTCTAAGCATGTTTGCAACAAAAGGATAAAGATTTTGTCTTATTCTCATTGTGTCCTTAGAATTAAGAAGTAAGCCTAGTTTTTTGATGTGAATGTGGAACTTTGGTGTGAATGTCAGTTAATCAAGTGGGAAGAAGGGCGGAAAAGCATTATTAATATAATTACCACTAAGTTCCAGTTTCTCCTGTAGAGCAGTCCTTTTCTAATTAAAAGGATCCGTATTTCAGGTTTGTGGATGAGAGTGTCTGTGTAATTATTCAACTCTGCCTTTGTAAGGTAAAAGAAGCCATGTATGTGAGTAAACAGGCATGATTGTATTTAATAAAACTTGATTTACAGAAATGAGCACTGATGGAGCTTGTTACCTCCTGCTATCATAAATAACAATGCTAGATAAATCATGTCCACTGTAGAAATGTATGGATCTTTGGTTTATTGCCATTTTGAAGTACTACTCATCTGAAGTGGGTTCAAGCGTTAACAGAGTTCTTTTCTGTTCAGGAAACATGGTGAAAGTATTGAGGGGGCATCAGAACTGGGTGTACAGCTGTGCTTTCTCTCCTGACTCTTCTATGATGTGTTCAGTTGGAGCCAGCAAAGCAGTATGTATTAAAGTTCTTGTACATTCAATGTGATTTGGATTATAATACTGTGTGCATAATCACTTCAAATCTAAGTAATCTAAGACTGCTCGGTGTCATGAATATCTTAAATGTTTTATTTTATGATGAGGGAGAATTTGCATGAAGGAAACTAATATAGTTACTGATGGTAAAATGACAGGTTGGGGTTTTTTTAGTTAAGAGAGATATATAAAAGGTAAGGGTATAGCAAATATTTTTTGGTATGGTCTAGGAAGTTTATATGCTTGTTAAATAGTTTAGTCCAAATGTTAAAGACATTCCCATGCTAATTATTTTCTCTGTTGTTCTATTTTTTTTGTCCAGTTTGCTGTTTTTAAAGTTTTGAGTCCCAGCTGGTCCTGGACATTTAACTGACAAAAAACAAAAAAAGTAACTTAAAACCCCAATAAGAATATTAATAATAATAGCACTCATGTATATCCTAGAATGAGTTATAGAAGAAATGTGTTAAGGTCTGGTTGATATAACATGCCTATAGACAACTAAAGTAAATGCCTCGGAGGGTTTTGTTTGTTGTGACCTCTCAAGAGTTGTTGGCCAGCTCTAAGTTACATGCAAAGAGGGCATACTAGCTTCGGGTATATCTCTATGGAAATGATGAATGTCCAAGTACATGTGTTAGTCACATTACACTTTAATGGGGGATGGGAAGCTGATGAAATGCATTTTACTTAGCCGACTAGTATGTTAAAAGGGTAGATGCAAAATGTTGGTAGTTTAAAACAAAATAGCTAGTCTAGTTCGTTAACAATCCTAAGAAGAACAAAGCTAGATGTTGACAATTGCTATTTTAGGCTGTGTGTTTTCCATATGCTTCTTGCTTTTCCTGTCACAGGTGGTGGCAGCAATATTGGTGTGATTGAGGTTATGCTGGCACCACTCGCACACAGGCGCACAATGGTGTTAGCTGGGCAGAAAGAGTGGCATCTCTGGCTGCCGGGCTGGGGGCGACCTTTACCGTAGGATGAAGTGACCTTGCATTCGGCTGCAAGGTGTACTGTACGTACACAGGTGCTGGTCGATGTCCACTTTCTGCTTCTCTTTCTTTCTTTTTTTCTTTTTTAAAATAATTTTCTCCTCAGTGAAACCTACTGGCTCCTCCAAGTAAATCTTATCTTCCAGTTTGGTGGAATTGGGAGTCCAGTAAGTGAAACCAGTTTAATGTAAAGCATTTGGCTTTCCAATGGTTTCTCTGTAGTATTTTTTAGAATTCTTTGAGATACTAAAGGTACCTTAAATCTTTGATCTAATATAAAACTTGTATTTATTTTCCAAATAATTTATTGTATCTGTGCAGAAAAGAAAAAGTATATACCGGTATATATAACATATATATATATACACACACGTGTATATATAGCAAAAAGGATTTCTTAACTCAAAAGAGGAGAGATTGTGTTGTTTGGATTGTTTTAAACCTCCAAGCTCACATTTAACAGACTGAAATATACACTAAATACTACTTAAAACTATTCTGCACAGCCTAACTGCTGCGCTTTAGAATCTAAAACTATATGCAAACTTATATTTATGTAACTTAAATGTTTTATACTTAAAATTGCTAATGATTGTGGTCAGTGCGGGAAAAATTAGATTGGTAAATTTTGATGCAAGATATGTGATTGTGTAATTTCCATTAAATAGCATTTCATTTTATAATGTGGCTTAACTTCCTTGTCGTTTACCAAAGAAATTTCATTTGGCTGTGAAAATTCTCTTTGCTTGCAGTATCTGTTTCTCTTCCTAGGCTCACGTTGGTGATCCAAGCCTATTGTAAACAAGTGATTATCTCAAAGGGAGATGCCAATGGAGTAACAATTTGTTAACCTTACATTTTCTGTCTGTATATTTTTTTAAAAATTTGGTAGTTTCTGGAAAATGGAAAAAAAGGGGGTTTGTAGTACTTAACCCTATTTATTTCTGTATATTTAATTAATTTTTGGAATAAATGGATTTCCGTATAACTTTGTGGTTAAACTGCATTGCCTTTATTTTGTGTGTAGGCTTATTTTTAAATTAACATTTAACAGAAACATTTGAAATAGAATTTGCATGTCTGTTTTAATTAACGTTAAAAGACTGATTGTAATCTATGACACTGAGCATATTTTAATTACTCATAATTTATAATGTTTCATTTAATATAATCATAATTAAATTTAGCATTTTTTAGTTTTAAATGTGGTATTTTTTTCCTCTGTGTGCTTGAAGGGAGCTATAACAGCGTATTTTTATTGCAGATTTTCCTGTGGAATATGGACAAATACACCATGATAAGGAAGCTAGAAGGCCATCACCATGATGTTGTAGCTTGTGACTTTTCTCCTGATGGAGCTTTACTGGCTACTGCATCTTACGATACTCGCGTGTTTGTCTGGGATCCACACACTGGAGGCGTTCTGATGGAATTTGGGTAGGTACAGCATGAATGCTCTTAGTCCATCGATGTTGGGCATCAGTTTAGCTCTTAAGCAGTTGAGTAAAGGATTAGAATCACTAACATGGCCCAAAATTATTTGACAGCCCCCACATGGATTAAGCCTCTGGTAAGTCCCTTCTGACCACTGATCAGGGATGTGAACAACCTTGCTATCAGATAAAGTTCACTGGAAAGTGAACTACTGCAGATGTGGTTAGGTTAAAACAAATTTATCATTTGTTCTCCATTTTGACCCATTTAAAATTTGTTCTAGTTTTTATTTTCTTTCTTTTCAATTGAGTTTTTCTGTTTTATTTTGTTACTGTTTGGGAGGTTTTGTTTGTTTTATTTCTCTAAATGAAATCCAGGATAGGTAAATCTATAGAGACAGCAACTGGACTAATAGTTTCTTAGGGCAGATGGAGTTGAGGGGAAATCAGGAGCTAATCATAATGAGTACAAGAAAGAAAATGTCCTAAAATTGATTGTAATGATGACTGCGCAACTCTTTTTAATGTGTTTGAACCACTGAATTATGTGGTTTGTAAATTGTGTGAATAAAATTGCTGTGTTTAAATAAAATTTTAAACTAAAAAATAAAGATCCATTAAAAAAATCACTAACATGTAGCCTATCGTAATTATAAAACTTGGTGTTACTGTTTTGTTTTTTTACTTGGTGTCACTTTTAAGCCTTTGAATAATGCTGTAAAACTTTATAATTACTTTAAAAAACAAAAAACCCAATTTGTCTGTCTTGATTCCAATATTGCTATTTGACTGTGCTTGAATCTGTAGAAGCAATATTTCAAAATATTTACGGTTTAGCCAGATCTCTAGTATTTTCAGGTTGAGGAAATAGTTAACATCCAACCAGTAGTTAAAAACACAAAACAATTGTTCTAAGGCCCTTTTCACATTTGGGATATGTCAGTTTGGCAAAGTTTTAACTGTTTTCAAGTCCACTTTTATTTTTTTAAAAATTCTTTGTCCATTAGGTGAAGGCTTACAGAGCAGGTCATTTCAGTATACATCCCAATTTAACTTGATCCATCGCAGTCTCTTCAGTGTATCTTCGTATTACCCCCTTCTTTCCTGCGCTCCTGTTTCCATCTCTCCTCTCCAAATCCACTGAACGTTGGTCTGCAGTAAATGCTGCCCTTTTGATCTTAAGTGGTTGATTATTCTGACTCAGGAGTGGGCTCAGTTCTAGACTTGAAGGGTAGGTACTATAGTCTTGGGGTCCTACTAACTTTACCTTAAACCTAATTCATAGAAGAATGTACTTTGTACCTTGGAAGTTTTGTTTCTTGAAGTGACCACTGAAAACGTGGATTTGCCTGCAGGCACCTGTTTCCCCCACCTACTCCGATATTTGCCGGAGGAGCAAATGACCGCTGGGTACGATCGGTGTCATTTAGTCACGACGGACTGCACATTGCGAGTCTTGCTGATGACAAGTGAGTGTGGCTTTCAAAGATTTCGATTGATACTTCTGCATAATGGAAATACTCTCAAGCTTTAATTTGAAAACAACAAAGCCTGTCAATTGGGGATTAAGTGTTATTTTTTCTCGACAAGGACTTTTGAGAGAAGGTGTACTTGGAATGCAGTGACCTGAATACTCTTTATTACTAAGATCCGATAGGCTTTCCCTGTGTACCTGACATGTTAATTTGTTAGGGTTGGTTTTAATTAGCTTGGGGCCAGCCGAAAGAGATTTTGTTCAGTAGTAAAAGATGGAAATAACGAAATTTCCGAAGTGGTATCCATGATAAAGAACACTAATTTATTCCCATTGAGATTGAAATGTGTCTTGAGACATGCTGCTTACTGGTAAGAAGCTGAGACTTGGTGTGGCCATTTCATTTCCTCAAGATTTCACCATACAGCATGCATGGATGATAAGCAACAGAGCAACTTATCATTTTCCCAGAATGCTATCAAACTGTTTTCATAGAAAAATCAGTTCTCTACTGTGTTCCTCCACAGGCAGTCCCCTAGTTATGATAAAGCCCAGTAAAATTTAAGGTACCTGCAATGTTTGTAAGAACAAACTAGCTCTGTGTATTATTAAAACATTACTAGTAAAAAGAAAAAATAACTAGTACTGTATTGTGTTAATGTCGCAGTGTGTGGAGATGGGTCTTTAAAGTTTCTGAGGCATAGAAGGTACATCATGTGCTAAGACAAAACACTTAACTAGTTGCCATTAGGTACAAACCAAACCTAATTGGTGTACTTACATAAGAATTTGATGTAAAGACATATTTAGGAATTCCTGGCTACCTGTAAGGAGAAAGCTTCCAATTGTGAACACAGCAGACCTGGACCTCAGAAACTAACTGAAGGCTCTAACATTTTATAAAGCAAAACAATTGCTTGCTGCAGTTGTGTGTGTGTGTGTGTGTGTGTGTGAGAGAGAGAGAGAGAGAGAGAGAGAACACTGACTCAATACTGTGATTTTCCTTCTGATTTTTAAAAGATTGCTTTTGTCTGGCGTATTCTACTACGGACTCATGGACAGTTCATTTCTTTTACAGAATGGTGAGGTTCTGGAGAATTGATGAGGAGTATCCAGTACAAATTGCCTCTTTGAGCAATGGTCTCTGCTGTGCCTTTTCTACTGATGGCAGTGTTTTAGCTGCTGGGTAAATATCTTTTCTTTTTTCTTGAAAAGCAATTTAAGATATAGCCAGAATATTTGTTGTCAGTTTTATCTCCCATGAGTACTTTTTATTTGGCAATTTGTGATAGAATTAATTCATTATTGGTTTGGGTCTCTCTTTAATTCCGTTTTCATGTGAACTTTTGGGAATCTAACACACAGCCTTGGATGGTAGTTGTTTAAAGTTGTAAACAAAAGACCTCATTACCATTGAGTCAGTGCAAGTGCACAGGGACTCTATGCGCCAGAGGGAAATAGCCCCTTGGGTTGTAAGCAGATCCCCTCATCTTTTTTCCCGTGGAGGGGTTTCCAGTGACCACCCTGGTGGTTAGTAGCTGTGTGTCTTCACCACTCATGCTTGGGGGACTGAGCTTGTGGTTTTTGTTTCCATTTAGGACACATGATGGAAGTGTATATTTTTGGGCCACTCCAAGGCAAGTTCCTAGCCTCCAACATTTATGTCGCATGTCAATCCGGAGAGTGTTGCCCACCCAAGAAGTCCAGAAACTGCCAGTTCCTTCCAAAGTTTTGGAGTTTCTCTCCTACTATATGTAGAAAACTCTGCCTTCTCTAGTGGAGGAACAGGCTTCCGGCCCCTGTTTTTAAAGATTTAAAAGATTTGTTGGCTATGTTCTTAAACTACATGTTGATCTGTTGAGCTTTTAAAATATTATTTATTAGCCTATAGGAAAAATATTTCTGAAAATATCAAATGTAAATTTAAGTCCAACTGTGAAAACATGTACTTGTATATATTTAGATAAAAGCTGCTATGTGTTGAATGAGCTCTTTTGCTTTTCTAATTTTTTGTGTCTGATATATGTATCTTTGCTGTGAAGTGGAAGGAGTTTTTATTCTGGGATACTGAGTAAGATGGTAAATAACTAACACAAGAAAGCGGAATTGCCTTATACAAATGTGTATTTGGTTTGGTGGAATTAGACCACTGATAGGTGTGTAAAACAGTTTTTGTGTAGGGAAATGAATGGCATCTGAAATCTGGAGTTTGAATGTGACATTAAATATAGAACAGAGCCAGAATATAACTAATAAAAGGACATACATGTATACACACAAACACACCCATATATGAATATAATGTTTTCCCCTTATGTAACTGCTACAGGTGTTATTTTTGGAAAGCAAACTGCTTCGGTTAAAAGTATTACATATTTTAGTAAATTTGAAAGCCCATTTATTGTATTATTGCTAAATACTTTGGTTGTACTAAGGGACAGTTATTTTAAGACCATTTTTTTTTGTCTTCTGCATATTTACATGTATCCCATTTCTGCAGGGATGATACTGGTCACTAGCCAAAGAGAAGCAATACAGCATATCTGCTTTTGTCTTCTGTTATTTATCATACCTGCAGATACTAAGAATGTATGCAGTATGTAAAATGCTTGACAATATATTTTTGTTGACTTTTTAAATTAAAGACTTGTTTAAAAAAAGAAACCCGTGTAAATATTACTTGAAATATGTTGACAGGTTAATGTTTTGCTTGTCCCCATTGTGAACTGGATGGAGCATCACAAACAAATGAAGGGGTGATGAAGAGTAATGAATTGGGGCACTGCACAAGAGTGAATTCAGTGATTCATGGATGCAAGTTTTTACAGTGGTTTGTTCAGGGGGAACTGTTGAAGTGACGCTCATTTTAAAAGCATAGAAAAAAGGAATGTAACTATCAAAGGAAAAATCACGGACTGGTTCTTTATTGTAGGGGCTGTCACATGTGTAGACCTTTAGGTAATGGTACCGCTGGTTTGCTGTGGGCTACTAACCAATAGATTGACTGTTCACATATGCTGGCACTGAGTCAATTCTGCTTGTCAAACCCTCCCGCCCCAATGTTACCATCAACGGATCTGTTTGGGGATTGTGGTTAGTTACCTTTATGGAAGTAGATCACTGGTCCTTCTGTGGTGGGTTAGTTGTCAAATGCAAACTCCTTGCACCCCCAGGACTTTTCTGTAAGGGTGGTTATTGTTTGGGGCTGTCAAGTCAGTTCCCTTATTACTCAGTTGATCCCAGCCCCTGACAAGTCTGGGGAGTGCGGTTCTGCTCAGACGTGGGGTTGCCGTGAGCCAGAATGGGCTCGGTGGCAATGGGCCTAGCCGGCTTAAAGTGAATTCATCTGGTTGAAAATTAGCCAATAAATAGTATGTTCCAGGAAGCATAGTATGTTTTGATGGCCCTTGTGAGCCCTTAAAGACTTGATTATATCTGCTTACAGTTGGCTCTGTTAGGGGGTCTTTATTGAAATGTGAAAGCCAGTAGGAAAACTACTCGTTACTTCTTGAGAATTAAAAGAAGCCACAAGTGTCATCTCTGCTATCTTTAAACACCTAGTAATAAAAAACTTTTTCCGTTTTACTCAGATATGCGTTATAATATTTAGAGGCTAATTTATTCTGACACCAATAAGTTAACTCTTCCACATTAACACCCCAATCAAATACATCACGTTTTTATTAGATACATTCTCAGAAGTACAGAATTGCCTGCTGCTGCTTCCTGTGAGAAGGGATGTCAGGATGACAGGCAGGTTGCTGAAGGGCTTACATTTGCATGTGGCTGCCATGTCTGCCGAGAAAAATGTAGCAGGAGGATAACAGGAGGGAGGTACAGAAGACCCCCTGGACAAGTAGCCCCATACCAACTTGGTTCCAAAGTCTAGCTTTACAATTTTAAAGCGATGGTTCCTTTCTGTTTGTTCCAAACAGCATTGCCATGACATGCCCTTTGGAGAATTCGCCACAGATCTCTCATGTCCATATTTGGTTGCCTGGTTTGAGCACCCCGTGGTGGGCAAGGGTGCCATGTGAATATAGGAAAAAACCTCTCATAATGAAATGACTTTAACATTTGTAACATTTGTAGGCTGGCGATCTTTAATTGATGATGCTTGTGACTCCCTGCCTGCTTGTGATAGAGGAGTTGGATGTAACTAGTGTTTGCTGCCCTCTGGAGAGCAAGACTTCACAGAAAAAGCCAGAGTACGCTAGGGTGGGATTTGGCTGCCAGCTAACCAGCACAGGAATAAGAAAGTACAAAGCATGAGAAATTAGACATTGTTTCCCAAGCCAGAAACCATAGAGACGGTGAACCACACCTCCAGATTAATCGGAATAGGGTTTGTGGGTGGTTTTAAGTATAATCCAAGCAGTTCTGGTCCAAGTGCATTTTAACATTTACCTAAGGTTGAAATGTGGATTTACTGTCATATGTCAGTGAATTAAATCATAGGTTAAACATTAACTGGAACATTGTTTTGTTTCTAAGCTCTTATAAGTAGGGGATGAAAGCAGCAAATAATACGGTACAACCTGGAAAATGTTCACATGAACCCTGGTTTGCTTTTCGGGGAAAATACTTAGAAGGAATGCAGATTCCTTTAGCATCTTCTGGACCTGCCCTTTGCAAAGCTCGCCTGTCAGCCCAAAACAGCAAAACGTGGCTTGAACCAGCTGGAAAGTGACCTGCTGCTATTGCAGGAAGTTCGGTAGCTTTTTTGGGTTGTTATTTTTTCTAGGCATATTTTAATTAGAATGAAAAGATTGAGAGTGGAATTGGGGGAGAAAAAATCAGTTCCATTGTTACTAACTTCCAGAGCACATTGTCTATTAGAGAACACAGCTACGACGATCCTGGGGGCTTGTCTTTGAGAGAGAATGAGGAAAAGCAGGGAAGTTGTACTGCTGGTCTGAAGGTCAATCTAAGACTTGGTTGAGGGAAACCTGTAATACAATACTGCATTTCAATGATGGTGCCTCGCTTTGTTTGAAATGAGGATGAGGTACCGGTGGTTCTGTTTTGATGTTGCTTTCTTGGCAGGGAGCCCTGGGCATGAAGTAGGTTATGAGTTGGGATGCTAATTGCAAAGTCACCAGGTCCAGCCTACCAGCCGCTCCAGAAAGAGTGACAGCCAGGGGGAGGGTTGCAATGAGTTGGGGTCCACTAATTGGCAGTGAGTTTGGTTTGGTCTCCAGGCATGAAATGTGAAATATGCCCATCAGGAAATAAGAGGTTACTTGTGAAACGAACTCCATTAAGTTGTTTTGTGTATGTTGCCCCACGGAAGATCATGCTTAGTAAAGTAACAAGGCAGTGGGGCGGGAACAAGATGGATGATTGACACATTGGCTGCATCAGGGGACTCAAACATAAGAGCATTGTGAGGATGGGGCAGGACCAGGGAGTGTTTCCTTCTGATGGCACCTAACAGCAACGAGCTATCTTAGGGCATGGCATGGTGGGCAAAGCATTAGGCTGCAGTGAAGTGCCTGGTCAGTGGCAAATTCACCAGCTGTGCTCTGGGAGAAAGATGGGGCCGTCTACTCCGTTGAGATCTACAGCCTCCGAAACCCTATGGAGTGGTTATAGTCCGCTCTACAGGACCGCTGTGAGTTGGGATTGACCCAATGGTAGTGAGGTGGTTGGTTGAATGGATGATCTAGGGGAAAGAGAATAAGGATGAGGAATATGAGAGATGCCTGAGAAAGATGATATTATACAGCCAGGAAGGAGGCGGAAACCAGGAAGGTAAACATTGGCACTAAGGGAGCCAAATACTTGGCTTTAAACGCAAGCAAAATGGAAACCCCAGTAAGTATCTGCCTGTCAAGAGATGCAGTTTGAGAAACCCATAGGGACAATTCTACCCTGTCCTAGGGTCACCGTGAGGTGGACTCAATTCGATGGAAGTGAGTGGGTTTCAATGTTTTTAGTAAGCTGTATGGTTCTTGGGGGTCTGCCTCATAGCAACTGTTGAGCTTGTAGCTGTTGCCATAGCACCGCTCAACTGACTACAGGACCAGAAGAATGTCTTCTTTGAACACCTTGGGTGCTGAGCACACTGTTACCCATGACTACACCCCAACCATCTCCCCAGCTCGCTATCCCTACTGTGTGTCATGAGCCAATTTTATTCAACTTCCCTACATGCCCTAGAGAACCCTCCTTCCACTGGTCACAGGCTGAGCCAGCCCAAAATAGTCTGAACTCATCGAGAGTTCCGTTTCCAACCAGTTCCTCAGTCTTCCACTTACTGGTTATTCCCACCTGAGGGCATTCCCCAGCCTTCTCCAATAGAGTGCTGCCCCTGGCGAGCACCTGGGGCACCTTTGCTGGTTGGAGCCACAGGAAGGGACCAGCAGGCACGGGAATACCTTGGGCTGGGGACATTGAAGGAGAGGCCTAGGGGAATCAGCTGCCCCAGTCTGTATCTGGGTCAGGCTCAGCATTTTGCAAAGCCTCAAGTTTCCCTGCTTGGCCCCATCTGGACAGGGATCAGGAGGATGTTCGTGGAGAGGGTTGGCTTGGTTTCTCACCCCAGGGCCTGCTTCCCAGAAGTCTGGGCTGAGGCTGAAATCCAAGAAAGATTTGGGTGGTTGTTGGCTTCACTGCTTAAGAGCTTATAGCTTTCTGAGGTTTGCTATCCCCATACTTTAATAATGCGTCCACACAAAAAAATCTTACCATAGTGAATGATGGGGGGAGTGCGGAGTGGAGACCCAAAGCCCATCAGTAGGCCACTGGAGATCCCCTTGCAGAGGGGACTCTGGGAGGAGATGAGCCAGTCAGGGTGCGATGTAACAACAATGGAAAATACAACTTTCCTCTAGGTCCTAAATGTTTCCTTCCCGCTCCCACTACCATAATTCAAATTCAACCTTGCAAGTCTGGCTAGACCAGAGGATGTACACTGGTACAGATAGGAACTGAAAATCCAGGGAATCCAGGGCGGATGAGCCCTACAGGACCAGTGGTGTGAGTGGCGAAACAGGGAGGGTAGAGGGAGAGTGGGTAGGAAAGAGGGAACCGATTACAAGGAACCATATGTGACCTCCTTCCTGGGGGACAGACAACCAAAAAGTGAGTGAAGGGAGACATCGGACAGGGCAAGATATGACAAAATACCAATTTATAAACTATCAAGGGCTCATGAGGGAGCGGGGAGGGAGGGGAAAAATGACCTAATGTCGGGGATTTAAGTGGAAAGAAAATGTTTTGAGAATGATGAACAAATGCGCTTTGCACAATTGATGTGTGTATGGATTGCGATAACAGTTGTATGAGCCCCTAATAAAATGTTTAAAAAAAAACCACAATAAAGGTTAAAAACAAAACAAAAAGAGAACAGTAACGACATATTGCAAGAATGGAAATCATTGTTAGGAGAAAGAAAAAGTATGAACTTTGAGAAAACTATTTGTGATGTAAGCTTTCAGCAAAACATAATATAATAAAAATAAATAAAATGGTATTTTAACACACAAATAAAATAAAATAATGCGTCCACAAGGGACATGTCTGATCAGAGCACACAGGAGCAAATGGAAGGGGAGGAAGAGAGTGGAGCACATCCTGGCCCACCAAGCCTTTAGGGTGATATACCTGCTCAGGGACCATAGGGCCAGCCCCACTATGAGACACGACATGGCTCACTGACC